GAATAAGAAGAGGAGGAGGCGGAGGAGGAGGAGGAAGAGGAGGATGAGCATGAGCAGGATCAATCAGGAGGAGGAGGAGGAGCAGGATGATGAGGAGGAGGAGCAGGAGGAGGAGGAAGAGGAGGAGGAGGAAGAGGAGGATGAGGAGGAGGATGATGAGGAGGAGGAGGAAGACGAGGAGGGGGAGGAGAAGGAAGAGGAGGAGCAGGAGGAAGAGGAGGATGATGAGGAGGAGGCGCAGGAGGAATAGGAAGCGGAGGAGAAGGAGGAGGCGGATGAGGAGGAGGAAGAGGAGGAGGAGGAGGAGGAGGAACATGTCTCGGAGGAATCTGAGGGTATTGAGGAGGAGGAGGATGAGGAGGAGGAGGAGGAAGAGGAGGAGGAGGAGGAACAGGAGGAATACTCGGACGAGGAGGAGGAGGAGGAGGAAGAGGAGGAGGAGGAGAAGGAGGAGGATGAGGAGGAGGCAGAGGAGGAGGATGAGGAGAACGAGAAGGCGGAGGAGGAGGAGGAGGAGGAGGAGGAATGGGATGAGGGGGGGGGGGGCGAGGAACACCATGATACTAATGATAAGCATACCGTTCAGCATATTGACACTAATAGGTTTACTATAACAATCATAATAGCAGCATCAGTTATGGGAAGGAAGGGTAGGTTCTGATGGATATTATCGTTGGGAATGGGATGGCAGAGAATTCACCACATGACTCAGGGAAGGCGCGTGGGGAAGCGAGGGGCGGTGGTCATGGGCATGCTCTCCTCCTCCCCTCCCCCTTCAGACGCGCAGGCATACTATGACTTTGTGTACAGAAAGCGATGGAGCACAGGGGTCCGGAGCCCGCTACTGTTGCTTGGCTGATAGACCGCGACCGCGCCACACGGACCAAGGCCAAGAGCCTTTACTCCGCTGGCTGGCCGTGGGGAGAGGCGCTCCAGAGTGCGAAAGACGTCCATTGCGTAGTGCTATGGACGTGCTCAGGCACAGGAGTGTCGATGCAGGTGTCGGCCGTGATGCCCGCCAAGGACGAGCCGCTGTCCGACGAGGATGACTACGACGAGGGTGGTGCGGCCCCGCCGCGGCCGCGCAAGCGCCAGAGGCGCCAGACCGCGGGCAACAGGGCGGGTGCGCCCTCCCAGCAGCCTTCGGCGCCGCCCCTGCCGAAGAAGCCGTACTGCTCGCGCTTCAACGGCAAGAAGGGGTGCACGCAGAAGGGCCGCGACTGCCCGAACGGACTGCCCCACTACTGCAACAAGTGCGGGGCGTGGAACCACGGCGCGTCCACGTGCAGGAAGGGCGCCTGACCGGGCCCCGAGGCCGCCCGGGACTTGCACCCATCGGCTTCTTGGCTGGAGACGGGGCGTCTGGAGCAGGAGAGGCCCCACCTACCTCCCTCCTTCCGGCCTCCTCTCGCCACTTTCACGCTTCCCTCCTCTATTCCCCCCCTCCTCGCACATAGCTCCCCTCTTGCTTCCCCCTCCGCCTCAGTCCAACGCCCCTCGCCAGAGCCCTCCTCGGCAGGCCCAGAACTCCCGCCCCCGGCGCAAAGGGCAGATCTGGTGGCTCTCGACCCCGCCAGAGGAAGGAGGAGGGAAGGCGGGGGGGGGTGGGGGCGGGGGGCGGAAGGCACTGTAGCGGGGGAGAGCGAGCGGGGGGAAGAGAGGGGAGCCAGAGGGCGCAACACGTGCCACCCTGGGCGCTCGCAAAAATAACGGGCACCAGGACCCGTTGTGGGCCAGCTTTCTGCGTCGCTGCGCCCCGCCGAAATCGTTCCAGGGTATTTCCATATCGTCCCCGGGACCTCCGGGGTCCAGAGGCGGCCGCCCCAGATGATACGGATATTTTCGAATTCGTATCTTCTGGTCTGGGGCGGATGCCCCCCCTGTGGCGTGGGCTCCGGGATTCGCTGTGGTCCAGTTTCTGGATCCCTGCAGGCCGCCGTCCAGGCCACCGCGTCGTCTGAGGCCGGCGCCGTTTCTGATGAGCACCTGCCGCTCCGCCGAATCCCGTGGGTACCAGCGCCGGGCTGGCGCGAGGGTGCCAGCGCGCATGCCGCCGCGTGCGTTCCGACGCCCGTTCCCTTGCCATGCCCCCCTGCTCCCCCGCCTCCGCCGCCGCTTGCTGCAGATGGGGCGCACGATGCCTTGGACCCGCCACGCGTGTATGTGATTTCTTTGTGCGACGGGATAGGGGCAGTCTTCGTGGCTGCCACCCTCTTGTCGCCTAAGATTGATGGTTTCGCGTGCGAACGCCAGGAGCATTTGCGCGAATTTTGTAACGCCAAGCGCCCGGATGTGGTTCAGGGGGCTGACCTGCGCAAGGTAGATTTTGGATCCATTGCGAACCACATTGATGCATGCGACCCAGACGGGGTCCTGCTTTTCATGGCCCCCCCCACCCGGGAGTGCACAGGCTCCAGCGGTGCTGCTAGGGTGTTGTCTGACGAACGGTCTTCCCCGATTTCCGAATTCGTGCGGGTCCGGGACGCTGCAGCAGAGTGCTGCCGTGTCCGAGATCTCATCTTCCGGTGGGCCGTTGAAGAGAGAGCGTCCATGTCAGCAGAGAGCCGCCGTGAGATTTCCGACCAGTTGGGGTCTCAGCTGGTGCTGTTTCGTGGCGCTGATTTCGGGTGGGTTCACAAACCATCCTTGTTTTGGGGCGTGCCAGTAGACGGCAAAGCTTGCAGCACGAGTTCCAGGTTTGCCACTATTGACATTGTCGCCCCAGGTCGTGCCTCCAACGACGTCCACGTTGCGAGGTGGTGCGGCCCCCATTCGCCACTTTCCTGGGAGCCAGAGGGGGGTTGGGAGTGGAGATTCCGGTCGGAATCGGGCAGGGCTGGCGTCAAGGCGCCTGGCACGAGTTTCGCGCCGTCTTACCCTATGGGGCGATTTCTCGCCACAGCGCCGGCTGGCCCTCACCCTGCCGGTCGCCCCCCCACCGCGCGAGGGGACCCGTACATGTTTCAAAGGTTCTTGGACGATGAACGCCGCCAGCCGCTGCAGTCGTATTTCCGCGAAAACGTACTGTGGAAGGGGGATCGTGCTTCCCGCCCGCTCACGGTCGAAGAGCTGGAGCATCTGCGCGGGTTCCCAGCGGGCTACACGTCCGCCCTCCGGCCCCCCCGTGGAGTGGACAAGCGGTCGTCCAGGCTGCACGCGTTGGCGTATGCGCCACACGAGCCCACGCTTGTAGCGGTGATGTGTCTGATCTTCCACCTAGCCCGTGGTTTCGACGTGCCGCCGTCCGTGGCCCCGCCGGCTTGGACACAGCGCGAAGCCGAGACTTGGGTGGCGGGGGTCTCCGCGGACGCCCCCTGGCATCCGCAATGCCGTGCGCCAGGTCTGCCTGGCGAGTATGCCCTGCGAGTCTTCCACGATGCGTTGACGTTGTTCCCGCCGGAGTTCTTTACACCTATCTCCGACGTGGTCGCAGAGGCAATGTCTCGCGTGAGTGCGCTGGACCTCAGTTCTCTGACGAACTTCGAGGTTTTTCTGGCTCGCATCGGAGCGCCCCACACTCTGCGGGGCCCCGATGCGCAGGCATTGTGGTCAAAGTCCCCGATGCACGCTTCCGCTGCCAAGCAACACCGGCCCTCCGCTTCCGACCGCGCCTTGCCAGGCCTAGTGGAGCACGGTGTTGGGCCGGACGAGCGCGTGCATCGGTCCACGCAGTTCCTTTCGCTGCGCCGCCAGATCTCGAAGTAGATTTGAGATTTGCGGTCTGTGCGAACGCTGCTTGGGGGCCTCGCGTGCGCGACCACCGGCGCCGGAGGCGCAAGCTGCTCCAGCAGCTGGCCGCTGCCCTTCGCCCACTCGACGCCTTTGCGTTGAAGCAGCGGCGCGTGTCTGTGCCGGCCGCGCCAGGTCTCTCCCCGGTCTTTGCTGCCGCACTCATCTGCCTGATGGGCTGGCCGGACCGTAGTCTGCCGTGGTGTCTCGTGCGCGGGTTCGAGCTCACGGCGGCGGTGCCGACGTCTGGGGTTTTCCGGCCCTGCGAGACGAGGTCCTCTGGGCAGAACGCACCAGCCCAAGTGGGCGAGACCCTCAGAGGGCCAGCCGCGGTAACGCACGCTCAGAACCTAGAGCGCGGCATGCGGCCTGGACCGTTGACCCGCGTGATCTACGATCTCACCGTCGAGGAGATCCGCGCTGGCTTGGCGGAGCCTCTCGTAAGCCGCGCCGAACTCGACAGGCGATTTGGCGTCGGGGGTTACCGGCCCCCGCCTCGCCACGCTATCTGGCAAGGCCACAAGTGGCGACTGGTCGATGATGGAAAGCGTGCTCGCACCGAGGCTTTGTCGTTCCTGCCCGAGACGTTGGTCGCAGCGCCGTCAGAACTGCTCATGCTGACCGCGCGCGCCTTTGCGATGGAAGCGGCTCAGCATGGTGGGAGTTTGCCCCCGTGGTTCGTGCTGCGAGCCTCCCTTGAGGATTGGTGGAAAGGCTACAGACAGCTCTTCCCCACCCGCAAGGACATGGCCTTCGTGGTCGTCGCCCTTCTCCATCCAGATACACGCGAGCCCTTGTGCAGCGTTCTGCGCGGCCTCCCCTTCGGCCTGGGGTCAGCGGTGAACCAATTTAATCGTGTTCCGCTGCTCCTCGCAGCCGCTGCCAGACGCTTGCTGTGCATCATGGGGGGCCATTACGTTGAGGGCAACTTCATTCTTGAGGTTGCTGCAACACCGGAGGGCGCGCGCAGCTCCTTTCAAGCCCTGGCCGCAATGTTGGGCACTGTCCGACTCTAAGCGGGTGCCTCCCACGTCCATGTTGGCCTTCCTTGGCCACCTGCACGACCGCCCTCGCAGACTCCTCCATTGCTTTCGAGCCCAAAATTGGATCCCGGGAGAAGTTCCGTCTCGAAGTGTTGGGGATCTTTCGGAAAGGGCGCTTGCTGTCAGGCGAGGCCGCTCACCTTCGCAGCGTGTGCAGTTGGTTGGGCACGTCCTTAGCAGGGCGCCCCTGCCGAGGAGCGCTGTCTGCCCTTATAGCTAGACAGTATTACGAGCCCATGCAAGAGTTGACCGACAATCTTTCTTGTAGTCTCCAATGCCTGTTAGCTGTGGCGGTTTTTGCGTTGCCTCGGCCTTTGTCCTTGCACCGCATAGCCCAGGCTCCCGTGGTAGTGTACGCGGATGCTCCGGCGGAGGGCGGTCGTATCCGTATCGGGGCGCTTGTCCTCGCGCGCGGGCGCCGGCCCGCCTGCCTGGTATATGACGTCACCGAACGGACGTTGCCACTTCTTGGTTCTGCCGGCGCGTCGGGTACGATCAACCAAGCGGAGCTCCTTGCAGCTCCCGTTTTGGTGTGGTCCATGCCAGACGTCTTGAGAGGGGCAGACGTGCTTTGGTTCATCGGCAACCAGGCGGCCGAAGCAGCACTCGTGAAAGCGGGATGGCCAACTGAGTCCATGTGCCGCCTGGCCCTGCAGGCCACGGCGGCGCTTGTTGCTCTCGGGTCACGTCCATGGTTCGAGCGAGTACCGTCGGTCGACAACCCAGCCGATGTCTTGAGCCGCGCTGGATATGAGGATCCCACGGTAGCTGCTCACGTCTCGTCCGGGCGTTGGATTGCAGTCCCGCCGCAAGAGCCGGATGCTGACGGGCTAGAATACCGACGTTTGTTCTCTGCGCCTGCATGATGGTCTCCGGGGCCGGCGCCTCTACGGCCGCCGGAAAAATTGCAATCGGCATTATATCGTTACTTGCCTTTGCACCCTTATTTGTTCACGTCTACACCACCCTCCAGCAATGCGTGCATCCCCCAGACAATGCTTGCACAAGCTTGTGATATATCATGACACCTGTACCTTTGACCATGGGGGCAGCGTTGGGGAGTCCTCTCGATTCTTCCAGCGTTGGGGGTCATTTCATCTTGGCCTGCTCGCCCCTGCGGGGGTTGCAGCCGTGGGACACCCCACCCCCTCTTCATGTCAAAGATTGCAGCTAGGGCGCCGCCCCTCTCCTGCCCCCGTCCCGGGCGATAATAGCAGCATCAGTTATGGGAAGGTAGGTTCTGATGGATATTATCGTTGGGAATGGGATGGCAGAGAATTCGCCACATGACTCAGGGAAGGCACGTGGGGAAGCGAGGGGCGGTGGTCATGGGCATGCTCTCCTCTTCCCCTCCCCCTTCAGCGGGCTCGAGGGACGCATGCTTTTTCCACCCCCTTCCCCCTTTCCATTCGTCCCCCCAGTCATATCGACCCTTTGCCGGTGCGCCTAGCACCCGGCGGGTCCATGCCCCCTTGGACGCCGCGCGGGCCAGGTAGCCCACCTGGTACCGGCGACCGCTCTGGGATCGGGCGCGCCGCACAGGGCGCACAGCGCAGTTTCTTGCTCTTCCGCGAGATGCCGCGCTGCCTCGAGGGGGGGTCATCTCATCTTGGCCTGCTCGCCCCTGCGGGGGTTGCAGCCGTGGGACACCCCGCCCCCTCTTCATGTCAAAGATTGCAGCTAGGGCACCGCCCCTCTCCTGCCCCCGTCCCGGGCGATGATGATAGCCACCGCCATTACAATTACTATTATTATTAATAGTTCTAACAACAACTACTAATCTGAATACGAACACTTATACGTACACAAATAAACTGAGTGGCTATTTTGGGAAGAAGACCGGCGACGAAGACGACCGCTACTACGACTATTGGGAATACTATTGAGACTAACCGTAATGATGCAAAGTAAGACGAAGACTTTCACCATGACTCGTATTCTTAATACTGGTACGAATACGGGTAATCATACGAGTAGTGCAGCGGATACGAATAATTATGACGGTTGACAGTGCTAATAATGCCAGTGCTCAAAATAGTGCGGACACTTCTGTTCATCAGCGTACACTAGTAATACTATTGCTAACGCCCATGCAAGTACTACTACTATGAGCTATCGTGCTATTATTATTAACAATAAAGGCATTCATATTATTGGTACTAATATTACTGATACTAATACGGATGCGAAGCATAACAGTGCTACTTTCACGATTGCTGTTCATAACAGTACTAAACGATCCATGTATTAGTAGTCGGAGTAGTAATCATACCACTACTAATAACAAGTGTTACGATACTTACAATCGTAATACGAATACTTCGACGCAACATACGAATTCTACGGGCAAGAAGAACAAGCCGCAACGTATTCAGATGATCAATAATAATACAAGTGCGAAGAATAATGATGATGATGAGGATGATGATGAGGAGGAGGAGGAACAGTAGGAGGAGGGGGAGCAGGAGGGAAATGAGGAGGAGGAGGAGGAGGAAGAGGAGAAGGAGGAGGAGGAGGGGCAGAAGGAGGAGGAGAAGGAGGAGGAGGAGGAAGAGTAGGTGGATGAGGCCGACGATTCAGACGATGATGATGATGATGATGATGATGCTGATGCTGGTGCTGATGCTGATGCTGATGCTGATGCTGATGCTTATGCTGATGATGCCGCTGCTGATGATGATGATGCTGATTGGGATGAGGATGCTGCTGCCGATGATGATGGTGGTGATGATGATGATGTAGATGATGCTGATGATGATGATGATGATGATGATGATGATGATGATGATGGTGCAGAGGAGGAGGAGGAGGAGGACGAGGAGGAGGGCGAGGAGGAGGACGAGATGGAGGAGGATGATGAGGAGGAAGAACAGCAGCAAGAGCAGGAGCAGGAACAGGTGGAGGAGGAAGAAGAGGAGGAGGAGGAGGAGGAGGAGAAGCAGGAAGAGAGGAGGAGGAGGAGAAGGAGGAGGAGGAGGACGAGGAGGAGGACGAGGAGGATGATGAGGAGGAAGGGGAGGAAGAGGAGGAGGATCAAGAGGAGGAGCAGGAGGAGGAGGAAGATGAGGAGGAAGAGTTGAAGGAGGAGGAAGAGCAGGAGGAGGAAGAGGAGAAGGAGGAGGAGGAGGAGGAGGAGGAGGAGGAGGAGGAGGAGTAGTAGTAGTAGTAGTAGTAGTAGTAGTAGTAGTAGTAGTAGTAGTTAGTAGTTAGTAGTTAGTAGTAGTAGTAGTAGTAGTAGTAGTAGTAGTAGTAGTAGTAGTAGTAGTAGTAGTAGTAGTAGTAGTAGTAGTAGTAGTAGTAGTAGTAGTAGTACGGTCAGGTATCTATGTATAGCGTGTGTTGGGAAAAATGTCTATACACGCTAAGTGTCTTACACTTAGCGTGGAACCTAGTTCGCCTCACTTAGCGTGTTTTGGGAAGGCTGTGGACGTCCTTGGGAAGGAAGGCTGTGGTGAGGAAAAGGTGGAATTGAAATTTGGCACATTCCTCATCGACCACTCCGTCCGAAGGCCACTATCTAGTGGCCTTCGGCCCATCCGCCACCGTGCCTGAGTGATGGGTCAGAGAAGGCTCACGGGTGTTGGTTGAAATCTCGTGGTTCGCCTCCTGGGGCCTCTAGGGGGCCGTCTTGGGGCCACCTCCACCTCCTCCTCCTCTTCCTCCTCCGCTTCCTGCGCCTCCTTTTTTCTTTGCCTTCGCGGGCGCCTGCAGGGCGCCGACGACGAGGCCTCTTGATAGCCTTTTTGGAAACCCTTTGCGCACTTTGGGAGCTTCCTGGGTCCTGGGAGCCTGTTGGATGCCTTTCGGGGACCTCCTTGGGCCTCCTGGTGGCGCGCGGGGGCTTGTTGGGCGTCCCGGGCCCGTCTGACGCCGTCGGGAGCCGTCTTGGGGGCCTCTTTGAACTGAATCTCAGGAGCGAGCTTGGGGGCCCGAGGACGCGCCCACTTTGTCTTGCAGGACGCGGTGGCGGAGTCCAGGTACACGCTAAGCAGTCTGCGGGAATCGATCCTTCAAAAACCGATGGAATCAAATGCCAACACATCCTTAACTACTTTTGAAAGGTTTCTTGGAGACCACTTGGACCGTCTTGGATGCCTGACAGGGGCCTCTTGGGCCGTCTTCGAGGCAATTTTGGACCATCTCCTTGGGCTATCTTGGCTATCTTGGACGACATTCTGTAGGCCATCCTCGACCATCTTGGCCATCTTGGAGGCAAGGTTGGGCGAGCCTGGCAACTTTACATAAAAAAGCATCGGAACCGCTTGTTTTTCAAAATAGGGTTCTTGAAGATTCTTGGCATCCCATTCTCTGGATGGCCAGCGGGGGGCGCGCGAGCCCCAGGGGGAGTCTTTTTGAACAGAACCAACACCACAACCAGAAGGGTTCATCACCCCAGGCGCCACCGCGACGAATCGAAAGGGCGTCGCAGAACGAAGACGCCTACGGCGAATCTCCGCCGCTCCCTGCCTTCTTAGAAGCGCCTACGTGGCCGAGTGTTTGGCTAGAGCTTCTTGGCCAAACTATCGGACCACGTGTTCCCAGAGTTGTTTTCGGAAAACTTTCGGGGAACACAGCGGAGCGTGAACGCGAAGAGAAAGCGGAAACGGAAGGAAACGTTGCCACTGGGGGGCGTCTGCGAAGCGGCTTCAGCTCTGTTGGGCGAAGGTTCCCAGAGGCAGTTCTGTTTGGATGTCTCCGGCGAAACGCGCATGTGCAATCAAGAGTTGTTGAAAAACATGGGGTTTCTCAAGATGTTGGCTTTTAGGGTTGTCTTGGACGTCATTCGAGATCGGTAAGATATGATTATCGAGCCCATGTGAAGCCCAACCACAGCATGCCATTCAGGGCCAGCCCGCTCACTTCTCACATCGGCCGAAACCCGGGCACCCCTCCATTCG